AATTAAAAATTAATGTGAAAGTAAGTTCATTTAATCGAAATAAACTAAGTGATTGTGTGAAGCTCTTTGTTTTATTTTCAAATAATGTCGGACCCTGATCCTACATGTACATATACAACACCACAGCTTACGCCATTAAGTTATACTGTTAAATACGATATGAAACATCACCCTCAAATTAATAGGAGCGGTGGGTAAAACCGCGTGGAAGGAGTAGTTAGGAGATTATACACAAAGAATTGAAAAGAAAATAATTATTAATTCATTACTTTATTAAGATTTATTTAACCTTCTGGTTAATTTGGTAGATTCGATGTCGAATTGCCTGCATTTGATGTCTCATTGCCTGCATTTGATGTCTCATTGCCTGCTTTTGGTGTCTCATTGCCTTGAGTTGATGTCTCATTGTCTGGATTTGGTGTCTTATTGTCTGGATTTGGTCCTGTATTGTTAGGATTTAATCCATCGCCTGAGCTTGTGTCATTGCCTGGATTTGATGTCACGCCTGAATCTGATGTGTCATTGCCTGATTTTGGTGTTTCACATGGATTTGGTGTCGCACTTGGTTCAGTCGTCTCAGCAAGTGTGGTAAGGTTTTCGGTAGTGGAGTATGTAGCTGGAGATAAGGTACCATAAATATGGTACAAACTAGGACTCGAAGTTTTTACCCACGCCCTTGTAGTACCATTTGTACGCCACTTAAAGAACGGCAATATAGTTGTAGTTTTCAATTCATGACAGGTACATTTACAGCGAAAATCCAACCTAAATACTTGGTAACCAATACTTTTGCAAGCAGTCATGCATGTAAATGTCTTTATATAATCTTTGCAACCGGAGTGATAACTCAAACCATAATGTTTCCGAGACCTTTTAGTTTCACCTGAAAGAAATGTTGATTGTTATTAGAAAACATAAAAGGCGAACTATGCACCTTTTTATACCACGACGGTGGCAAAAAGTAACGTGTCCTGCACGTTTAGAATTGTTTGAACTGCTTTCATAGCATACAATTAAATACTAACCTCCACCTTTGAAAAATATTGCACAAACAGCTAATAGCAAAGCAATAGCGATATGTACTCTCATTATTCCGGAGAATTTTTTTAATTTCTTTGAAAAAAATAATGTTTAGAAATGTTTTTTCTTTTATTCCCACAATAGATTGAACTACTAAAATTAATTATCATAATGGGCCATGTAATCAAATTAACATAAAATTAAATCTATGAATGTGAAAATTTGTCGTGTGTTGCAAATTGGTTTCTTATCAACAATAATTTATTTTTAAAGCATTGTAAAATATGCGAGAATATGTGTTGTATCAAAGTTCGTTGCATAATAAAGGACACAATTGATTATTATTTGAACACGTGGTTTGATTCACGTCCTTATTATTTTCTTAAACTTATCCTACTCTTACTTAAACTTATATTAAGCCCCGATTTCATAAGGACAGCTCGTGACAGCTCACTGATGGAATATGAGCCTTCTTTAATTGAGGAGTTAGTCATATTCTTCACGACTGATATGCGGGCGCATGGAGACCTCACTTTAAAAAAATTAAGTTTACTCGACAGCGCTAATGTTCAGTTTCTATCAAATGTATAGGTTAGCTATTAGGTAGCTCTCACGACACCAGCGAGAGAGGTAGAGGTAGAGACTGCGATGCGATGCGATGCGAATTCGTAACGCAAAAAATTAAGATGTGAATTGCTGCGACGCGATTTCGTGCGACAAGGCGTCTCCCAGGGTGACCATTCCTTCGACGACCGTCAACCGTACTAAAAGTATTTTAAATTGAAAACTAAGTCGTGACATGGATCGTAAAAAGAAATGTGTACTTCTGTTATTGCTTAGGAGATACAGGAAAAAAAACAAGATTTTGGGAAGATATGATTTTGATGCGCGATGTGAATCAATTCGCAAGGTCTTGCGATGCGTAGAGGATGCTCGCACATTTTTGCCATGCGACACCGCATCGCAGTTTTGTGTACGAGACCTTATTCACCTTATTCTACTCTGCTGGTACCATACAACTAATATACAGTATTTACTACAATTCTAAAATTAAAAGGTAGATATTTATTCTTCTAGATTGACAATTATTTCCCTATTGCTGTTTCTTTATCACTCAATTTTTGTTTTATTGAAAAACACTACTGTTTTATTATAATATGTAGATATAGACTAGCTGTTTCTAGCGGCTTTGCTTGCGCGGAAGTTGATGGTCTTTCATCCTTTAAGTAAATCAAAGTTTGTGATATACCTACATATTTCTTTGATTTAAATTTTTAGCACACAACAACATGAAACAAGTGAAACAAGTGAATTTATTTCTGCAAATCGGCTACAAGGCAGCACTTCAATTTTATCAAGCGAACGATGAGGCCGACATTTCCTAACTGACTACTCTGAGAACAAATGCCGAAACAAACTCAGAGGTCTGTCTCTTTTAAAGTCCAGACAAATGTGTATATAAAAGATTATGTGTGAGAACCGTGCAAGTTCTTACTGTAGTGGCCTTTTGAGGAAAGAACCACAACAGTTTGAGCGGACCCGTTCTGAAGGCAGGAAGGAAGTTTAGTTTTCCTCGGATCATAAAGAATGCAAGTCGCATACAATCTTTTATTCATTATTTTATGGCTATTAAGTAAAGTTCCGAAACACACATTATTTTTTTTATGTCAATAACCGAAATACAAAGTATTGTTTATTTTACTTAACAAAAACAGACTTTATACATATAACAATAATATATATTTTAACTCTTTTAGATAATTTAGATCTTTTTGTCATTTAAGTATTTTTAGATCATTTCTTAGTGGATGTCTATATAAAAAAGTACATATTAATTCCAAAGTTCAGGTTTGTGGCCGGTGATGATGATTCAGTCAGTTAGTCAGTCAGTCAGTCGGTCAGAGAAATAGTCAGTCAGTTAGTCGGTCAGATATTCAGTTGGTCAGTCAGATATTCAGTCAGTCAGATAGTCAGTTATTTACGTTATAAGTATAGATTGGTGTAACTACAAAAACGGTCTAATACAATCCTAAGTAATTAATGAGTTTCGAAATGAGATAAAACAACAGAATAACAGTTTTTATGTTTATTATGTTTACAGAAAAATGCTTTGTGTGGGGCGTTTTACGGTTTTTTGTTCAACCGATTTGTATACAATTCAAAATAGATTATAGCCAGTTTTTCCCGTTATTAGTAGTCATAAATCATTGAACATCCGTAGCCTGTGTAGCAACTGATCTTTCTAATAACATCTAAAGTGAAGAAAACCAAAATTGACGGTTTTTTATAATAGAATGCGGCTATTCCGACTTTTCTGTGGTGTAACTAATAAATTTAAACCACGGAACCATTCGATAATACTAAAACACATAATATAACATAATATCACGCCTTTTACCCCCGAAGGGGTTGGCAGAGGTGCACATTACAGCACCTATTGCTACTGTAAAGTGTAACACCTACTTTTCATGATTCTTTGAATGATGTTATGAGTCCTATGTAACAGGGGAAATTGTGCTCGATATATGGTAATAGGTGCACTATTACCTGGTATATGGTAATAGTGCACCTATTACCATATATCGAGCACAATTTCAGACTCCGTGTTACCACTGAGAAATTTAATATTTTGCCCAACCCGGGAATCGAACCCGAGACCCTTTCCCCGGCAGTCGCACTTGCAACCAATTGGCCAATGGCCAATGAGCCGTTCTAAAAACAATTACTAATAATTTTTGGTAACTCGAGCAGATTTAATATTCATAAAATTAAATTGTAGTTGCAAACTAACACTCACCGGTATCATAAACTACGTTATCATAATAATAAAACAAGTATTGGTCGGAGCTGTCCACTGACATATTAGAATTTGATTAAAAACAGTTTTACATAATATTTATAAAGCATATTTACATAATTAACCAGAACCTTGCACAGGGAACAATGACAGATACCGCGCGCACTCTCCGAGAAGAGTTTAATTCCAGAGAACTCCCAAATCGTGCTTATAATTTATAATAATAGGGAGGTCCCTTAGTGAAGAGACCGTTTTGTAGATAGGTATCTATCAAATTACGCCACCTTCCCCCTCACAAGCGCCCATTGTTGTTTAACACAGAAAATATTCATTTGAATATTTACTTAACATGGATAATATTTTAATCTTCCCCTTTGAATTATACGCTTTCCAACGGAGACAATTTCACGCCCCTTACGTTAAAATGGCGTAACTGAGGGGCTCCCTACAATCGATTACATACCGTGTATTAAAACAAACATTGTGAATTTAGGTTGAATTTTCCTTGGCAGAAAGAACAATATCAATTTAACAAGATATTCCTTTTGTTAATATTCGCACACGCTTTATCAAATTCTCTAGCGGGGGTGACAATAAGTCGCTGTAAGTACTCTTCTGACATATGGATAAAAGCTTTCATTTTAGTCTTAGCTTTTTGTACTCTATTATAATTGGATTTAGTAACATTTTATATACCTACGTATTATTTTTGAAGAATTTTGCTAAAACATGTAAAGATGTTGCTTTATCTGAAGATATTCTTCAACATACATTTTCTATTTTAGAAAACAGATGTGTTAAATTAAGTAAATAATTGACACACAATTTAAAGTTTATTGAACCTCACCAGCAATGTCACTATAAACTGTTACTGCCGTGTTATAATTAAAATATATTTATGAATTTCTATTCCATTATATAAGTTAACATACTAGTTCCTTAAATTTTAAGTAAGTCTACTATCTCGACATATCTGTTGTGTCAAATTATATCATAACTCAATTGTAAAAACTGTTCCGAGGCAACTGGCTTCGAGCCTTCCTCACAAAAATTGGCACGGGGTCCTGCCCTCGTCTATTTAATAACATAATAGCACAATTCCCTCGCCGCATGATTCAATTTGGATTTCCTCCAGCCTCCCTCGTGTAGTCTAAAAAATGACAACTTCATTATATTGTTCGCACTCCCCTGGGCGACTTGTTTGCCAGAAGGATTATAATGATTAATTCCGTAAAATATTAATACATCGTCACACTTGCGCTGCTCGCTGCGACACTTTATAAACGGCTTATTGAAATTATATCGCAAGTGCGCCCGCTCTGTAGATATTTTGCATTGTTGTCGTGTCGAAGAATAATTTTAAAGAGATTTGTGTGAATTTAACTTTTATGCGTATTATAAGGTTTTCGGAGATTAGATTTTAGATTAGAAATTATATTATTAATCTAGAAAAAAATGCTCAAAACATCGCAAAACCTAGTTGTTGACAAATTCATAAATATCATAAACACGTTTAAAAACGTGTACATTATCACATTTATATCTAAAGTAGGTAGTCCGTACAATGCACAATAGTAAAGCCAGCTGTCTTCGAATTTTGTCCTCTCCCAGAGGAATTTAATTTGGAGTAATGGAAGTGTTATAATATTGACTTAACAGTCCAGAAGTCCCCTCGTACACAGTTACAGTTATTAAAATGGAGAAATTTATTATTAGCATTTCTGCGTGCCACTATTTACATTTTAATTTTATTTGTTCTGTGATTTCATTAGTCATGGGGTAATGCGTTCATTCAATAAAGCTGCCTTATAGGTACTTACGGAACGATTTTAGGGACTAAGGTTATTAATTGTTATAGAAACTATATACTCTATGGTTTTATACTTTTCGTAAGTTTTAATTTTAACCGATTTAAAGAAGTTTTTAAATTCAGATTTGTATGGTGAGCCATTATTCGAAGAGTGAAAAAACTCTTAGATTGGGGAAGGGAGAAGGAGGTAATTGGGCCTCCGGTAACGTCACTCACATGACGAAACACAGCGCAACCGTTGCTTCACGTCAGTTTTCTGTGAGGCTGTGGTATTACTCCGGTCGACCTGGCCCATTCGTGCAGAAGCATGGCTCTCCAACACATAAAATTGGTCGATAAATATGTTGTAGCATATCGTTAAGTTGAACGACGTGTGAGTATTTGGATATATCTAAGTATATCTAGAGACCTTTTGTCGCCGAAATTATATTTGTAAAAGTGAGCAGACAATTTCACGGTCTCTTCCTCGCACCCTAGTGTGGACTCTAATCAACGAGGCGTTGATGCTAACAGAGATAAGACCTTACCT